AGAGAGAGAGAGAGAGAGAGAGAGAGAGAGAGAGAGAGAGAGAGAGAGAGAGAGAGAGAGAGTTTTGTTCCATTTGTCGATATGAATGAGAGAGAGCGACAGAGAGTGAGCGAAAGAAAGAAAGAGAGATAGAGAGAGGGGAAGAGGGGGGGGCTTACCACAGAGAGAGAGAGAGAGAGAGAGAGAGAGAGAGAGAGAGAGAGAGTGAGTGACTGGCGAAATTGAAATATGGATTAAATTGCGGCCGCTATCTATTTCACAGCTAGAATGATATTTTTTTATTTATTGAGCATCTTTCCTAGAAAGATCGCAACAAAATCTACGAGCACTCCAATTTTCAGATTTTTCCACGCATTCTTTTGAGCACGAAAACTCGCTGAATTTGGAGTACTTTTTCAGTTGGCCTACACATGGCTGAGTGGCAAAAATGGAAAATGTGCTGAATTGGTTTGACGATTATTTTGCAGTCTAAATGAATTTTTGAAAATGCTCTAATATTGTTTTTGGAAAGAACACGCCCTCATCTATGGATTGCCAAATTTTCAGATTTTTCTGTGGGTTCCTCCGAGCACAGAAAATCACCAAAGTTACCTCTTGCAAAACGTTCATTTCGTTGCGCCTGACCTCCCTGTTTTGAGAAGACGGGCCTCAACGCCTGCGCCTGATGGCCCTTTTGCAGTTCACATGCCCTCACTTCTTTTTGGGGTCCACTTCCACCCGAGGACCGGTCCTTCCTCTGTCAAAAAGTCCCGGTTGTACTAGAGCTAGATGTAGGTAGTCCGCAATTTTGCCAAGGACTGGTCCCCCAAATTTTTTGCCCCCTTAAAACCCACTTTGCGTCCTGGTCGTCCGCCGCCAAAAATGCAACACCTTGACACAAACGCCAAAGCCTACTATACCGCAGCCTTAGGGCTGCGAATATGCTTAATTGATAAAGGATGCGTTCTTCGTGAGGTTTAGAAGTTGATTGTTGCATGAAGAAAAAAAAAATTATTTGTGCGTATGTGTCAAGATTAGTGTATGTGTTTCTGTTTATCACATCTGTTAATGTTGGAATGTGTAGTATTTAGGTAATTTATATGGTATTAATGTATTAGATATTTGGCATACATTGATTCATAGTTGGTGTCAAGATTGGTGGTCCTTGAATCTTGGTCCATATTCGTATATGTGCGTGCTTGGGTGTTTGTTGTTGTAAGTTTTTTTTGTTTTTTTCCGTCTCTATACCCTTTAAACTTACAGCGGTTCCGCCGTCACACGAAGTTATGGGCCCATAAAAAATCGTGGGACGGGTAGACCGGGGAAGGTCGTCGGGGCGGGACGGGCGGAAACGGACAAGAGTGTTGCGTATGGCGAGGCGAAACGCCGCATGGCTCATGTGAAAAAGGGTGTGCCCACAAGATTCTGTGCGCCAAGGCGTCGCCACGAGAATCCGCACATCGATTTACGTCGAGGAGAATTTGTGATTCGCACCCACGAGAATTTGTGGGACGGGCACAGGCAGAGTGAGGTCGAGAGGGCGTGCATAGGAAAAAGTGTGTGTGTGTTTAACTAACCATAACGCTACCATGACGCGAATCGTGGTGAGTTGCGTTCAGGGTATGTGAAGCTTTTCACACCATTTTAGAAAGACCCATACAATTAGTCTTTGCATCACCCACACCGGGACCGTTCGAGCATCTGAACACCACTGGGTCCTTATTACCCCTTGTACCTTGATCATAGCATGCAACAACCTTTATCATTCACCAACCCTACTAAGACACAAGGTGTAGAGCCCGAGGGCACTAGGCCATGAGCCATAAACAGCAGTCCAATAGGACAAAGCAACTGACAGCCGGCAACAATGCATACAATGAACAGCAAGGCAACTAACGATATAATGTCACACAGGCTAGGGGGAAAGGGGGAGGCGGGCAGACAAACAAACAGTACAGAGCAAGTATTAGGGGAAGGCAAATAAAAAACGACGAAGAAAAAGGCATGTGACACCAAGCAACAACGAAGAGCAAGGGTTGGAGGGCACGGGGGAAACGGGGGTGGATACAAGACGACATAGGACAACAAGGCATTGAATGACTGACATCAACAAAGAGTAAAGACTGGAAGACACAGAGCAGGCTGGAAGGCACAGAGGAAGCAGGAGGGCAAACGACGCAAGAACATGAAACAGGCAAACCAAAAACATACAAGTCTAAAAAAATGGTGTCGGGACCGGTGGGTCCCGAATAACATCCCACCACTTGAGAGCCTGTATATAGCCAAATTGTGCACGCCAGAGAAATCTAGAGTAAGGAGGCAAGAGAGAGAAGAGACAAAGGACTAGGTCGTCGGGAAGAGTGATGCCCTAGGTTGAGAACCGCAAGGGGGGGAAAATGGCAACGGCAAGCAAGTAACTTGAAGCGTGAGGACATGGGCGCATAGGAACCTAGCATGAGGCCAGGAGGGTCATTGAGATTCAGCATGACAAACACCAAGGGGCCATTAACCTTGCAAATACGGCATGGCGAACGACAAGAGAGTAGGAAAGCCGAGAGGTGGACAATCTCGGCGGCCGTGGGACGCTACGAAATAAGGGTCCAACGTGGGGGTCGCCTACAACAATTAACGGGAACCTCGGATTGGAGGCCCCGTGGTCGGGGAAATCGGCGCACGCAAGGCCCAAGAAAAACAAGGGAAAGGGATCGCCATGGGGCGGTAGACGCCCAAAGAACGTGGAACACCTTGAGGAAAGGCACCACGGACCACGTGGGACTAAGTAAAATAATGGTATCCGGAACAAAATATGTTGGGGACCACCGCCGGGACAAAGTGTCGGGGACCACCGATGGGACAAGTGGCGGGGACATGAGAAGGTCCCAAGAGAAACAGCGAAGCGGTATGAGGAGAAAACAATTTAGACAAGCTGCACCGTCAAGATCGAGATTTTGACGACAAAAAATATATAGCACCGCTAGTGCAAGTAGCAGTAGTAAACGGGAAGGCCAAAAGGAAAATAAAATGTAAAGAAACATGAAGTGGGAGGCATGGGAGGAATCCAAAAAATATCAGATCAGCCTCCCTCCATAAAATAGAGTCAAAAGAGATTCCATGTGAAAAATAGGCCTCCGGGAGAAAATCGGAGTAGGAGAGACTACTGTAGGAGAAGAATAAAGGAAAAAGGAAGCTCCCATGGGCATGAGGGAGCCATTATTGCAGTCCGAGATGCAACGAACTGCACCATCGGCATAGGGAAGGCCAAAACTAAGAGGAAGGACCTAGAAAAGAGCCTTAACGGCCACTTGACACTTGGCATGCTAGAAAAAGAAAGAGAAGAAAAGAAAAATATGGGAGAATAAGACAAAAAAAGTGAGAGGGAGTGAGTGAGGTGACCACCAGTAGGGACTGCCACAAGTAGGGACTCGCAGGTCTCTACTGTCCAAGAAAGGAGGAAAAAAAA